CAAAGTTCCAACACGAGATGATCATGCACGAGCTCCTCAAGGGCATTCCGACAATCCGACAACAAGTGGACCGCATCCCACCATCCGCTAGAGGCGAACCGCCCCGAATCGTGCTCGAGATCCTTCAATCGACTCTCTGGGATGCACGCAAGAAACGCCAGTTCAGCGATGTGGAACTCAAGGGCATCATGCGTTCGGCGTTGATGGGCTTGCGGGATGTGCATCAACGAGGCTTGGTGTATGCAGGTGAGCCTCTACACACACGACTAGAACGACAAGTGAAAGCTAATTTCATCCAGACCTAAAGATGCAGAACATCCTCCTCAGCGGCTTCGAAGACGAACCCAACAAAAAAGCCTCCGTCGGCGACGACCGCATCACCGCCAAACTAGGCGACCTAGGAATCGTCATGGAGCCAGCCAAAGGCCTCGTCCAACCCATCGTATACCGCGCCCCGGAAGTCTACTTCCGCAACGAAATCAACCAGCCAGCCGACATCTGGTCCTGGGGCGTTATATACTGCCAGCTCCTCGAAGCACAAGCCTCCTTCAACAAATACGGCATCTACGACGAGCTCCTCCAAGGCAACACGGGCCAAGGCCAGAAAGAGCGATCCGTCGAACGAGCCATAGCACACGACTTCGGTCTTGGCGCCTTGGATTACTACGACGGCTGCAGACTCCCTTACCACGACCGCTCGCACCACGAAGGACAACACTGGGAGAAGTTGCTGGAGAAGGGTGTCCCGGAGAAGGAAATCAAGTTCCTGAGCTGGGTTCTCAATCCTGTTCCTACGGATAGGCCTACCGCGCAGCAGATTCTGGATGCGGGCTGGTTCACCATGGATACGGCGAAGACGAGCAGGATTGCTGAGACGCTGGAGAGGGAGGCGCAGGATAGTCGGCGCAGGAATTTGCAGAGGAAACGGAGTGAACCGCTTTTATCTACGTTTTCGGCGTCGACACAGCAGCCGAATGGATTGTATACGAGGGAGCAACCTACTTCCTTCAGGAACACTACTGCCACAAATCCAAATACGAATACAAATTCGACAAATTGGGCTCCGGCTGGTATGCCATGGCACCCGCAATCTAGCCAATCTTACAGCCATGCGCCGTCGTCGCAACCAGTATCTCAACAACAACAGTCTTCCCAACATCAACAGTCCCCTCCAGCACAAGGCGGCCCGCCATACCAACCCATGTCCTTCAAACCCGTCACCGTCCAAGCGAAGGAGGAATGGGAACACAAGGCTCGGCCGGTTACGCCGAGGAGTGCGACGCAGAAACCGAGTGGGAGTACGTTTTTGAACTTTGGCAGTTTTATGCGGTAGGGATTGGGTGGGGGTTTGTAAGGGATGGGTTTGTAAGGTATGGGGTTGGGGGGATGGAGAGAGGAGAGGGAATGGAGAGAGAGGGGAGAAAAGGTGGTGGCGGTGAGATGGGGTGCGTTAGGCCTGCAGCTCACATCAAGTTCACACCACGCAAAGTAGTCGACTCAACGCCAGCGTAGGCTCCAGGGTTAATAGTGTTTTAGTTGTAATGATATTGTTTGTTGTTCAGACAAAGGGATGAGATGATGGGGGCATGAGTGACGTGGAAGTGGACGTAGAAATGAGGTGTCGTGAGATTCCCTAGTAATGCATCTATCCCACAACTTACGTAGGTAGGTGTGTTGAGGACTACGTGGACGATGTGAGGGATGGAAGAAGGCGTCGCTGTTTCTGCCCCGAGGTTATTAGATTCAGAGTTAGTTTTCCACGCGATTGCTACAAAAGAGCTGTTGTTGATGTGTGAACGTTTGGGATATCTTACGTAGTCATGCGAAGTTTCTTCATCGAGCTCGCTGCGAGCTTACACGTGTAGTCTTTATTTCTATTTCCCTAGTACCACGGGTACACGCCAACTAGCCCAGGCGTCTTATTTCGTCCAAGGTGCTGATGCTAGTGCTAGTGCCGTTGCCCGTGCCAAAGCATGCAAATCGCCGCAATGTGACTAGTAGCTCACTTGTTCTTAAGATTCATCGTGTAGAACTGTCGTAGTTCTACCCGTTATTAGGTGTATCTTTTTCTTCTTGTTTGCGGTACTTCTTGGGAGAAGCTATACAGTTGATTTTGGAAGGTATAGACGTTTTAGAGAGATAGAGCGTAAATACGTCACGTACGTCTCTGCGCCTGTCTTAAGGTAGCTATGTTGTAGTGTTTTTCTGTTAGATTAGAGCAGACTTAGAGGTTGTTAGTTTGTTAGATTGTTAGTTAGGTACGTCTCTGCGCTTGTCTTGTAGTGTTCTTTGTTATAGAGTGCTTGTCTTAGATTAGAGTATAGTTAGAGTAGTTAGGCTTTTAGGTTGTAATGTTATTAGGTTATTAGTTTAGTTGTTAGTTAGGCTATTAGTTCAGTTGTTAGTTAGGCTATTAGTTAGATTGTTAGTTAGTTAGATTGTTATTTAACAAGTTAGTTAGTTTGTAAACAATAATAGATATCTCGTGGAGGACTACCAGGTAGTTGTTTGCTCGTCCGTTTCTCTTCTTAAACGCATTTCCCGTAATTGCGAAACCTCTCCTTCGCGGCGTGTTCCACTTCGTACAAATACCCCCATCGGTCCCATTCGTCATCCTGGTACCAGTGCTCGGCAAGTTCATCCCCGTGTTTCGCGCGTCCAATTTCCTGAAAAAGGCTGTGCAGTTCCTTCCCCGGGCGCCAATTCCCTACCAACCAATCTAATTGCCGAGTTGATCCAGCATTGATAGAGGGCCTGGGTTCAGCGTAGTCAATACCCCATATCACATCTAGGTCACGTTGACGACCCATTGGCCGCTCGGGGTACACATCTTGCCCCTTTATGGGCGACCATATCACTGCTTCCTTGAGCGCCGGCATTTGTATCGCTGCTCTTGCAAAGCGTTCGAGCAGTGAGATGAGATTGGCATGAGGAGCAATCCGGAACTCGTAATTATCCTTACCACGTGTCTGTCTTCCACCCCGAATGTTTTCGACATAATATTCGTCCATGTCCTCATCGAACTGCGTGCGACTATAGGGTGGGTAGGAAGCGTCTGTGACAGGGAGACCGCGTGCAACGTCGCCTCGGCCATCAGTGCCTTGGAAATACCATGTGCCATCGGGACGGGCGTTGTGAAACATGAGATCAAGTAGTTCAAGGTGTGGCCAGGGAGTGTGTGATGTTGCAGGATTTTGTGGCGATAGTGCGGGGAAGATGCTCTCGTCAATCATGGCCCGTAGTTGCCTGAATGTACAGGTTAATTTATTGGTCTCATATTAGTTTGTATGCATGAATATGACTTACAGGTGGCGAAGGTTGTTGCACAAGATACCGAGGCTCGAGGAGAAAGGATCGTGAGTAAGGTTGCTACCTACAAGATCTGGAAAAAGCGTTCCGTGATCATAGTCAGTCACCCGACTTAAGGGGTACAAGAAATCGAGCGTAGCTCGCCTCAGCGTTTTGGGTAGCTTGTCGACACAGCTGGTAACTGCGGCAGCGAAATCATGTCGGGCATCTCGTCGCGGTCCTGCCCAGTCGTGCTCGTAGTGTCCACTACACGGATCTTCCTCTTCATCCAGGGTTTCGCACCATTCGTACCCTCCGGTTCGGGTACCCAGATATTCTAGATTGGGCATGCTGGTCGCTAGGTCGATGAGAACCCGCAGGTCGAGCTTCGATTCCTGCATCTCGGAATAATTGTCTCGAAGGCGATACGTATATGCATATTCGTCCCAGGGAGGGTACTCGTACTCGTACCCTTTCCTGTCGTTACTAACGATTCTGAACGATCGGATGGACGCGATGGGAGGCAAGTCCTTTGCTAGTAGCCGGACGCGCCAGCTGGTCATATAGCGATGGGGGCATGCATCTTTGTTTTCCGTTCTTCTTATCGGGTTGTAGATTGTGAGTCGATACCTCCCCGGAGCGTGGTATTTTCCGGCCTGCTTCTCGACTCGTTGAAGGATGTCGAACAGAAATTGCATCTGGCGGGTGAATGACTCGTCTCTCTCTCGCACCTCGTCAGCACTCTCTCGGCAAAATACTCGATCGTCATCTTCGTCAACGTCGTCATCATCATCATCGTCATCGCTGCCGTCGTCGTCGTCAACCTCGTTACCCTTTAAGTCGTACTTTGCCGAGACATCTGGTCGGAACGTTACCTCTCTCAGATAGAGGAGGCGATGACCGGAGAAGCGCGTGAGGAAGTCGGCTGAGTTGTTTTCAGTGACTGTGAACTCTGCAAAAGCCCCGGAGTGCCTTTCTGCTGCAAAGCGAAATTTGCTATGTAGGGTAAGAACACTGCGCAAGTCCTCTCTAGGTAGAAAGCTAGAGATTCTTTCGATGAGCTCTTGCGGGAGTTCGTTCATCATGGTGTGAGTATGTGATGAGTTGAGTTGAGGTAATGAGTAACGTTTGGTGGCTGGGCGAGTGCGATGCTGCTGAGAAGCGATTGAACTTCTGTGGGAAGACTGTGGAGATGATAATGGGAGATTACTGTCCATGACGAAGGTGCGCGTGGCAGAGCTCTGGGCTGATCTGCGGCGTAGTCACAACATGCGGCTAATTCGGAACATTCCGAAACATTCCGGGCGCTACAGTGGCTCCTTCCTGCCCACCACTTGTCGCATTTATTGTCGCTGAAGCCGCGCGGAGGTAAGAGAGACAGTCGTGATGGTTAATGCTTACAGCAATACATTTGTTTGAATGTTCTACTAGAGAACAGTGATGGACACGTGATAGGCGATAGAAAGGAAAGAGTGGCGAAAGAGCATAATAAGGCGGTTACGACTGCCCAAAATAACAAGCGAATGAGATAAACAAGGTCATGACTCCAGTACAAAATCTCAGACGAAACAATCCCGAACGCCGCACGTAGTTGCTATCTAAGGACCAGCCCCCAAATCCAACTGCCAAGCAATCATAATCACCAATCAGTACAACCCCTGTCTCATAATGCGCGCTCCTTCTCAGACCCGATCTTAGCCTCCTCCTTGGTCTCATTGATCGGCGCCATCATCATCCATGTCTTTCTCATCCTTTGATTTCCACGGCATTGCCCAGTCTTTGACCTTGTCCCATTCATCATGTGTCTTCTTGATGAGAGCCAGCATATCTTTCTGTGTCTTTTCCAGCTTGTTTTTCTCGTTCCGTTTCGCCTGAGCATCACCCTTGAAGTTCTTGGGCACTTCGGTCTTCTTCGAGGACTCCCATTCGTCTTTCAGACGGTCGAGATTGACTGTCATGAAATCTGTCGCTCTCTGCTTTGCCACCGCAAACACATTGTCCATGTACGCGTCCCATTTCTTCTCAAGTCCTTGCTCTTGCCACGGAAGCGCGTCGATCACGTATTCTTGACTTTTGGGCTTCGTCGCATCCGCAAATCGTCGGGGCGTTTTCTGTAGCTCTCGGTCAATGTATCCGATCATCGCTCCGATCCTGTTTTTCTGGTTTGCGAATATTTCTGCGATGCTGTCTTGTTGCATGTACTTGAGAGCTCCGATCATCGGCCGCATCTTCTGGATCGCCCTGCGTGATTGGTCGCTCACACTCAGTTTGAGCTTTTTGTCACGCCCCTTGATCAGCGCTTTCATTTTTCTCTCGGCAACGATATCTTCGTATTCGCCAGATTTCTTCAATGTCTGTATGAACAGCTGTGAGGAGTATTGTCAATAAAAATCTGGATTTCCGCACCGTGCCATGAATGTACGTACCCGTCCCTTGTATCTTGCGTTGATTTCACTTTCCAAGAGTGGCATCTCATCAAGCCACATTTGGTCACCATCTTGTTTCCACGGGTATACACTTGCTAGCCACCCAATCGGACTACGTTGCATGACAGCTGGATCCGGCGTAGGGCTTGAACCCGGAGTAGGACTCAGATTAGGGCTAGGGCTCGGACTGAGACTAGGGCTCGGACTGGGACTAGGACTTGAATTGGGGGTATTGGCCAGACTGGCAGGAGGTCCGTTCATTCGATGGTCTTTCCAAGTCCAGGATTCTCTCCAGTACTCACAAAAGCCGACCATGTTGTTTTGCTGAGGATCTGGATTCTTGAACTTGGTCGTGATCTCTTTACCCATCGTATTAAAGAACTGGACAACCGTTTGCCATTCTAGAACGTGCTCAGTATCATATTGGATACCGGCACCCTCATCTGGCTTATCCATACTGTAGTCGTCGCATGAATCGCGTTTGTTGAACCCGTATTTTTTGGGCTTGTCAGCTTCCCACTCCTCACTACTCGGGTAACGGAAACTTTCTAGTGGGTAATCGCAAGCGCTTCCTTCCTTGGGTTTCGCACGCTTCTCGAGGCCAGCATACCTAAGATCGATTGGGTAGCTTCGTGAAAGAAGGTCGGCTTCATCTACGACTTCATCTTTGTCTAGCGCTGCCAGATCTTTGCAGGACAAGGCGGAAGTTGCTGCTGAGGAATGGGACGACAAAGTGGTGGAAACAAGCGTTGTTGACGTGGCAGGCGGAGTTGTGGAAGATGTCGGCGAGGAGATCGTAGACGCGGTAAGAGAAGACGTTGCGAAGGTTGAAGAAGTCTTGAACGGAACAGTCGTTTCTACCGGTGGAGCTCTACTGCTAGGAAGGTCACTTGCAGTAGTCGGGGCTGGTTTGGCACTAGCCTTGGTCGTATCTCCGTCTCCGTTCCCGCCGTTTCTCGTGCAGCGTGGACCTTTGCATCCTTTGCATCCTTTTGCGGGACATGGTAGGTCGTCGTAGTTCATCCCACCCGGGACAAGCTCGTCCGGGGCATCGACCAGAGGAGTAAAGGCCTTCTTGATCAAGTCGTCCCGGCTTGGTACCAGCGGGCTACAATCTGCTTGTCCCGCAAAGTCCGCACCACTGAGGAAGAAGTCGGCCCATTCTTGCGCAGCGTCTTGCGCTTCATTGGCGTACTTGTACGCCTTTGCCGATCGGATAGCGGCCACTATAATCATCTCTTAGCGTCTGCTACTAAACAAAAGAGATGATTCTCGCTTACCCATTCCACCTGTGATGGCTCGTCCTGGTGGGGGAAGTGCTGCCATCCCAATGGCCATTACTACATCGAGGGCTTTCAACGCGGGACACAGAACCTTCTCGAGGATCTTGCCAGCCTCGATCAGTCCTTCAATGAAGAATTCGCCTGCAAATTCCAATATCGGAAGATCACAAGCGCAGTAGCCTGGCTTAACCATCAAGCCTAAACTTGATCTTAGTCTTCAAATCCAACATGTACAAAGTGCATACCCAGGAAAACATACCGTGATACGTTTTGTCCGCACCGCACAGAAGAGCAGGCCCACATTATACAAGAGAAAAACTAAACAGGCCTGCAGTCTACATTGAGACAAAAAACTGCACAGTGTGTGACCTGCCGTTAAAGTAGGCTTTAGGGTGTTTAGTTTTTTCCTCTGCTCTTTTACATTCTGCTCCGACCCATGGGATAGCATGTGACATCTACTGTCCTCTAGATACTTGTTCAGCTTCTACATGACTTCGGGATCCTTCGTCTCTGACAAGCCGTATGTATTGGAATACTCGTAGGCGATGGGATCGCAATTCTCCGCGATAATGCATGTCGTCAGGCCGGCCAACAGACTGAGGAACGCCTTCATGTTGAATTGTGGTATAGTAAAGATACGATTGGGCAAAGACGGGTGCGATGTAGTTCGATGGCTGTCTCTTGCGCGTCCAACCCTAGTCCTATATACTCATATCGATTCTGGTCTTGAGCATACTTGGGAAGTACGCCCCCAAGATCTACTATTAGCACGAAGCAGTCTGATACAACCACGCCGTGAGGTCTGGCTATTCGGAGTGTCGATGAGCTGTCATTTTGGACCCGGCAGCCTGTGCCTCTGAGGCTCAGTGAACATTGCCGTTCAAAAATGTGACGGTACATGAGGTATGACGACTGCTGTAAGCTTCCCATTCCTGAAGGAACATCTTAGCCCCAGAACATGGTTGTCGTGGCAGAGACTCATACAACCCAGTTCCACTGTGCCGTTTGATGTTAGATGAAGCTGACAGACTCCTGAATACATGGCACAGTCGAAGTATACGTCATGATAAAGCCATGGCAAGATTCCGTCGAGATGCGAGTGGGAGACGAGATGGACTCTTGTAAATCGACGAACTTGAGTACCTATTGCCAAAAAAAGCCAGGCCAGATACGATGTATTTCGGATGGGCGGCATGTTCAGGCCTGCGCGAGATAGTCGAAGGCTTCGCCAGGTAACGCAGTGCCGGTTTCCGGACGATATTAGTGGTATCTTTTGGTCGTGTCGGATTAAGCAGAGCCGAGAGGATTACGCGCTGCCAAGGACTTGCAAGGCTTACGGTGGTGAGGTAATTCAGCCCCGCCATTGTTAGAATCGGACACCGAAACGTCGCTTATTTCCAGCGAAACAACCGCGAATGCGACCAGGTCGCCAACAGTGGTGTTCCTCAAATTGCGGCGTTGTCGCAAATCGCAAATGCCGCTTACCAAGACTGCTCGTTGATAGCTCCGCTCCGCCTCGATCTTACACGGAATCACACTTTACCGGCGTCACCGACGTCACCAGTGATAAGAACAACGAAAGGTCTTGAATCTGGAACGTGAGCTCTGCATATACATGGCACTAACAGCAACATTCGTTCATTCTGCTCGCATGCTTTTCTCGTAGTCCAAATGCTACGACAACGAAGGAGTAATGCGGCCTGGGTCGCCCTGGTGATCATCAAGCATCCAATTGCGAAGATTGCTGTAGTTGGAAGATCTGTACCCCTCCCCCCAGTGCTCGACCAGATCATTACCGTGCTTCTCTCGCCCAATGTTCTGGAAAAGACGGCGCAGCTCCGCATCTGGACGCCATGCTGCCACCATCCACACTAGGCGACGTATCGTTGGATCGTCGTTTCTTTGTTGACTTGGGAGATAGTGCGATGGTGACCTCCAGATACCATTGTCTTGATCGGAATATTGTATAGCCCAGTTAGACCTCCAGTTAGACCCAGGTCCTTGATATTCCGAGTCCCAGCCTTGGGACTCTGCGTAGTCATATTTCGGATACCAATTCAGCGATGTCCAAATGATGGCTCTCCTCAAAGAGCACATTTGCGCTGCTGCCCTGGAAAATCCTGCTAGGAGCGGCCTCAGTCTTGCTTCATCTGGTGTGATACGAAACTGATTTTGCGCGCCGTTGGGTAAGTTGGAGAGATGCCCGGAGGTTACAAGCTCCTCCATATCAATGTCGAGCTCGGTCGTTTCAAGAGGGGGGTACGAGGCAGCGGTGATGTCATAACCGACAGCCTCGCGGCCGTGGCCTTGAGGTCCAACGAAGTACCACGATCCGTCAGGCCGCGACGGGTGGAACATGACTTCCAGAATTTCCAGATTGGGCCATTGCGGTTGTGAATTATCGTCCATGCTGAACAGGCTTTCATCAACAATCGCCCACAGGCGCAGTTGTCGCAGATTATTGGTCAGGATACGAAGGCTGGCGCTGAATGGGTCGCGGAGAGCTGGACCAACTAGATTAGGTAAAGGCCTGTCTTGAATAGTGTCAAGTGCGCGTATCAGCGGGCTGACGAAATCCAGGCTCGCCCGCTGAAGCGAGGTCGGAAGCTGGGCTTGGTGAGAGATGACAGCGTGTGCGAAATTGTGCCTCGCATCACGACGTGGGCCATCCCAATCGCTTTGGAAGTGTCTGTTGGGGTCTTCACTACCATCATTACCTGAAAATGCAGGAGCCCATTCGAACCCTCCTGTCTTGCAGCCGAGATACTCCAGGTTTGGAAGCTTCGATACCAGATCGACCATGACCCCCAAGTCCAGTTTGAACAATCCACCATCGAAACACTTTCTGTAATTTGCAGGATAACCGTGACTATCGTGGTAAACACTCGCGTCTTCTGGGCATTCGTTGCAAATCTCCAGCGAACGAACTGAATGTACCAGGGGAAGCTCCGTATTGAGCAGACGAATGCGCCAACTGATGTATTCCTGGTGAGGACAGTATATCTCCACATGAATCAGCCTGGAGGGGTCGTGTATCTGGATTCGATATCGACCAGAGGCATGCTGGGGTGCAGCATTCTCCTCAACAGTACTGAGCGTTGTGAACAGCGAATGGACCTGACGCGTGAAGCACTCATTTTTGGCTCTGATTGCATCGGCGTTTTCGCGACACATCTCGTCTTCCCAGGGCCAGGGGTCGGGGGGCCAAATTGGAGGGAAGTTGGGGCGAAAGTGCAATTCCCGCAAGTAAAGCAGCCGGTGTCCTGAGTAAAGCCCAAGGAACTTGTCCGCGTTACGCTCATTTAGGGTAAACTCTGTGAAAGCGCCAGAATATCTCTCCGCGGCATAACGAAACTTTGTGGAGACAGTTAGAACGTTCTTGAGATCGTCCGTGGGCAGGTTTTTGGTGATTTCCTCGACGAGTTCTTGCGGCAACCGATCCATGTCAAGCTAGCGACTCTAATGGGCTGACTGAAAATGCCGTGTTTTCCGCGAGCGTTCGATTTGTGGACAGGTGTGTAGTTGCAGGTAGACGTCGAGGGGATGGGAGCAGAGTGATAGCGAGCTGAGCGTGTATTGTTGGGGGCGCGGTTGCGGCGCGGTTGCTGTGATGCACGTAGGCCCCAAGCCCTATTAATGGAGGCACATTCCGAACATTCCGAGGCGTTCCGAGCGAGAAGACAGACTGCAACAACGCCGATGCGTCACGGATATCGTGAGAATTGGCCCGCTTGGATGTATAGAGTTTGTTTAGTATATTTGGACGAGGAGTGGAGCCGTAAGAGTGTGGAATATGAGTCGGGATACAACATGACGGGAAACCCTCTCCCAGTGAAGGTTGATTAGTAGAGGCAAGGCGAGACGAATGGTACTGTCTTGAGCATCAGGCCAATCCAAGAAACAAAGTCGCCAGCTTTGAGAATGGAGAACAGGATACGTGTAATTCGCACGTCGTCTTGGCAGGGCTGATGCGTGAGAGAAATAAGTATAAACAGCGAATGCGCAGTGGGTGTAGACTCAGTCGTACAGCGTGGAAGACGCCTCACATTGGGTGTCACTTCCTAGCGAACCTAGCCAAACTGTATGCATACCATTGAAGATAGTTGCGCGTAGAGTGGCATCATACTTAAGCCTTGATGAGATTGCGTGCTTTTTCGATGGTTGTAGTCCGTCAGTATCCGAGGATGTTGAAGACTGTTGGAATGGCTTCAAAGCAGTCCATTTCAAGGTACAGGCCGTGCAACGTGCGCAGTTGAGAAGTGTTCCACGTCTGTAAGCGCTGGCTGGAACGAGCATGCCGCTGGTGCAGGTGTTGTTATGGTGATGGCGTGGATGCTGGAAGTCACCGCAGGCGTCATGCCAAGGCGAGCTAACTCCATCCGGACTCCCTTCCACGCAGAACCATGGAACGCAGTAACATTAAATACAAACACGTACGCATGCTGCACTTCTTTCTGCAGTTGCTGCTTCGGAGACAATGAAGGTGAAGATGTGCAGCTACCTCTAAGTGTGCACGATGGGCAGAAGACGATCGCGCAGGTTCCACCTATCCTCGGCGATCTCTCTTATGATTGGTCCATTGCGTGCGCAACTTCCTTGCCAAAAAAGCCGCCCCAACGCATCCGCTGAACACGCTCGACATCGCCGCCCACCTAAACCTTTTCCATCGCCAAACAGCACCCCAACACCTCATTTCATCACTTTCGACGCGATAAAACGCATGCGGAAGTTCGTGCGACACTTTTGACACCCATATCGACAATATTGCGACGCGTTGGTGGTCGGATCGCGCTTCTGGGAGCGTGACTCCTCTCTTCGCTGGCTGGCCCCCGGCGCCAGATTTGCAACCAAAGCCCCATACGCAGCCCAAACCGTCGTCACGTGCATAACGACAAACAACAATGACGGCTCGCGCGACCGGACAACGCTTCAGACAGCGCAAGCTATCGACAAAACAGAATTTACCTGTCGTGCGCGAACAAGATGTTGAGCAGCTTGCTGATGACGATGCGTCGCGCCATATTCCCAAGGTTGAGACCGGTGTTGAGAAGGGCGAGGAGATTGTAAGTCGCGCTAGGCCGCTTTCGGCTTTCCCTTTCCCTTACCCACCACATACTAACATCATGTTTAGGAGCACCATTTACAAGCTGTCATATCCGCCGCCCAGGCAGCAGCGCAGGGAGCGACTGGTGGGAAGATCGCACAGCTCTACATCCCGACTCCGGATGCTGTCGCGAGTACACTGCAGTATGAAGAT